GCCTCCGGCTTGGGCGGGTTGTTACTTTCCTGTTGTTGTCATTGTTGTCGTCGTCATTGCTGTTGTGGTTATTGTTGTTGCTGCCATTTTTACCTTTGTTGGTGCTCATGAGAGTATAGGTCCTCCGGAGCTTAAATCCCTTCCGCCCGAGGTTTGAGCAGTACATCTTCTGCTTCTACTGGACTCTTGGGGTCATGCGAACAATGCCAGCCGAAGTGACTCCAGTGAACGCCGTCGAACGCAGCTTGCCTACTCTTGACTCGTCGCCCCATTTCGAATCCGAAGCTGAAGGGCAGCTAGCGCCAGGTCGTCGTTGCGGGACATCCTACCTTGAAATGAGTTGCATCCAGTAATGCACATAGTCTCGAGGTGTCTTCGTCCTGTGCTTCATGTTCTTTGCATTATCTGCTTTTGCCGTATCCGTTGCCTCCCTGACGCAAGCCTACTTCAAAATCAGCGTCTTGGACTGGATGGCCCAACCAAGTTCTCAGTGCCTTGCGCATGGTGCCTAGCTCCTCTCACGCCAACTGTGAGGTGAGCGCGGCCGGAGCTTTAATGATGAGATGTTCGCTATCCGCATGCACCTCCACAAACTTCGTGTAGAGGAGACATCACAGCGGAAGATCAAGGACACTTGGGCATGCAGGGAGGTTCAGTGGCCACAATGGGCGACCGACAGCATGCCGCAAGCCCTTCCGTGTCGACTTTCACTCAAAAGGGTGCTGTCTGAGGAATACCTCCACCACAAGTTCACCCGCCGGCGGATCATGGCCAAGGAGGCTGTGCGCTTGCTGAGACCGTGCCTGCCATCGCAATGCGACAGAGTTACGCCTTGCACCAGGCGAACTTACTCAAGGAGCTCCCGTCAGCTCTAAAGGAGGAGGTGGAGAATGCAAAGGTGCTCCAGCAGGTGCACCATCTTCCATGCACCCTGATCACAACAGACCTGCTCGCCGCGCAAGCGCAAACACTCGGAAAGCTCCTTGAATCCGGAGAGCCGAGGTATGCAAGGCTTGTCCAAAGACGCGCTCAAGCAAGTCTGCAAAAGCAACACGGCCTACAGCGAGAAAGCATACGTTGTTGTTATGTTTGCCAAAATGCTGCTAGCTAACATCTTGCAATGGCCGAGGTGCAGAGTTCCTTGACATTTTGCCGGGCGAACATCTCGTTTGCGCTGGAGATGAAGCAGCCTCAGATCGAGCGAAGCTCCTCCATCCCCGATGTTGTCCCGCAGGTTGCAGCCCAATACGCTCTAACCCTGACTGCAGGTCACACACTGCGCCTGGGTCGTTTGCTCCGGGACACTTGTACGATCTGGCATTCCTCAGAGACTTTTGGCCTCGCTGATGACGCACTGTAACCCCTGATGAAACTAAGGACTGTCAAAGTTGAGGATGTAATGGGTCCAGACCCTAATGGGAACACGATCCACGATTGAGCCGTGAACTGCCCTGAGATAGAGGTAGCCATTTTCTTGATGTAACATGCGCTCCAAGGACAGAAGTGCGTTGTGGATGGAGATCCGCCGGTGATTAATGCAGAATGCCTTCTCACACAGGAGCCAATCGGAATGTCGTCATTGTCGGTGTGACTGACCCTGTACTTCACATCCGAACCCTGCCGCTGATCAGGAGCCTTTTCGATCACCTACCACCGTCACAACCACGAGCACCTGCCACTAGATCGCACCTGCTGCAAACGAGCGTTTGCACAGACGTGCATCGCAATCAACAGTTTGTGGCTAAGTAGACTCTGTTGGCCGGCAGCTGAAATTCTAGAAGCCCATGTGTGCCTCACAAGGTGAGCTATACAAGCTGGAAAAGACGAAATTCTTCGAAATTGCAGCCCACCACTTGACGTTCTTGGGCATGCAATCGTTTTGCTGGCTTGCGTGTGTGGCCGTGTCAACCGGGACCTGCCGCAGACAGCGTTGCAAGATGCACTTTTTTGCTACCGGAGGGGGGGGGGGCGGGACAGCCAAACAATTCCCACTTTGATCAGGAAACAGCCGAAGATGAAGCGTCAGCAGTCTGGCCCGACTGCTATCAATGCCATCTGCTTAGTTCGGTTGGCACCACGCGAATAATTTTTGCAAGACTCGACAAGAGCCGTTCTGGCAGCATCCAGGTGGAAGAAGCGACAGATCGGGTCACAACACCTCATGCATCTGCTGGCGCAGCTGCTGCAATTTCAGCTGGCTGACAGGTTTTGGTTTCACTTTTACAGTGGCCTAGCAGGCCGCCATAGGGTCAGGCATGCTTTCCAACCACATGGTATGCACAGAACCTGTGCGCCAAAGTGCCTGGAGCTCAAGGGATGCTCTCCAGGCGCATGGCCGCGGCGCGCTGCTTATTCTGTTGACGTTGACTTTGAGAGCGAGTTTTTGGTTCATTGTTCATCGTCTCCGTTGCTCCAGTGTTTTAAATGGCAGCCATGTGTAGCATGCGCGCAGAACTGATGTTGTTGAAAACGACAGCTGGAATCAGGCTCGTTGCGAACCCCTTTCCTCATGGTTTCATGGAATTACAAAAACACTGGAATATAGCCAGTGGCAAGATGCATTTGAGACACTTGCCCCACAGAGCAAAGCTGCGCGAGATGGGTTCGTTGGATGCAAAGTGTTGCTGCAGTTGCATTGCGTGAATACATTCCACGCAACATTATATGGAACCCATGTTGTCCCATTCCTAACCTGAAGCGTTACTCCCACAACTGTTACGTACAGTACAGGTTCGAGTGGAATAATCCCGCAAGCGACCGACAGCACAAAGGGCAGCGGTGGCAGGAACAAAGCGTTTCTTGTCATACCCTGCTTGTTAGGTTCGTGCTTGCAGGCACGCAAACCAAGCAAGAGGAGCCGAATCCAACAACGACAATTCCACAGTTTCCTCAGTTCGCTCTTGAGTGTGATAATTTGGATCGTGGATTCTTAGCTGCATGCCCCGGCTTCGCATTTTTCATCGATACGGAAAGTAGCTCAAGTCCAGATGTTCGTGTGAGAATCACACGTCCACGACGGTCACGGCCAACTTTATTTCACCTGTAACTTGATCTTTGGGCTCTGCAACAGAGCCGACTCCCGCGCCATGAGACGACAGCAGCTTCAGTTCAGGATTACTTACTACAGCTATCGGTGTACAAAAGTTGATAGTATATGTTGATCATACCCAATTGATTGATGTTCGGGATACCGCTCAACGCGCCATCCTCGGACAAGGAGCAATGAAGCACACGGCACGTTTTTGCAGCAGTTGCTACAGGAATGAAGCTGGACAAAAGCGGCACTCCAAATGCCTAATCCGCGTTCATGATTGTAACAGGATCTTCACGTCCGTCATGCTAAGTAGTACAGAAGCAATGCTGCCACAGGCACTGTTCGACTTCTTGCCCGTCAAGTTGCCAGATGGCCAGCAGGCCGCAGCTGCTGTTGGCATAGGGACCTAGCCCGAGACTCCCCAGACCCGCTGGAGACCTGTCTGTGTACTTTGGTGTGTTTTATGTTTGCAAGCCCCTTCTCCGACGAGGCCTTCCTGCCCCGGCCTGGAGGCGGCATGCCGAAAGTGAGATGCATGACATGACTGCACTGTGCACTGCACGTCCGTCGTCTTTGAAGCTGTTTGCAGCATGCCGATTGCAGGTTGAGGTGTTCGAGGCTGCAGGCTGACAAGTGGCTCACGTGAGCTTCCTGTGCAAAGGCTCAAATTGCAGCCACAAGCTGTAGGCACTAGTCGCCGCCATGTTTAAACAGATTACAAGGATTGTGGTGTTGTTGGCCGTCCTCCCGGCGGCCACTTCACAAGAGGCGGGAGATCTCCCGGTCGAGGAGCCCGCGACAAACGACGCGGCGGAGAAGGCAGAGGCAGCAGAGGCCCAGGCTCCTGCCAAGGCTCCAGCTGCCCCTTCCAAAGCCCCATCTCCTCCTGCCAAAGCTGCTCCCAAAGCAACCCCTCCGCCGGCACCCCCTGCTCCCCCTGTCACTCCCCCAGTCAACCCAGCTGTGCTGGCGGCCCGCCGATTGGAGGAGGATGTGCAGCAGCAAAAGGATGCTCTCAATCGAGACTTCTTGGATGCTTGCCGGAAATTCGATACGACCAAAATCGAAGATTTGCTTCGTCAAGGCTCGGCCAGGGATTGCAACTCATCAAGGTGCTGGCACATCCGGTTCGAGACAGGATCAAATGCGTTTGAAATCGGAATGCATCACTGTATCACTGAAGCCAATGACGAGGGACCATGCTTGTTCCTGATTGCAGGTGCAAATATTGATGATGTGCCATGGCGAGAAATGGTTGCAGACGCCGCCGCTTCATCGCCCAAGCTTGGGGCTTTGACTCTCACAGCCAAGGCATCGCAAAGTGGGCCCAGGTGGTCTGCTCTCGCTGATGCTGCGATGAGCTCAGCTTTCACCTAACCATTCTCATATATTCTCATGCTCGTTCGCTCGTTCGATCACCTCCATTTTACTTCTTTCGCGCGGTGCTGCACAAGAGAGTCGTACCTGCCAACTGAATGCGTGGCGATGACTCTGCTTCAGTGCTGCATGCCGTATGCCCGAGGCGGTGCATGGTCGCACTGATGCGGCCCTATATCTCTTGACCAAGAAAGCGAGTCCGGACGTGGAAGACAACCGCGGCCGCACGCCGCTTTTCCATGCTGCACCGCGGCAGAAACATGAGGATTGCCCGAGTTGATTCTTTACAGGTCGATCCACTGGCTCTACATGAACTTGAGGTCGAGTTAAGCCTTTGAGGTAGTGAAAAATCCTAGACATGCCAGAGCTTCAGGTACGCTACAACCACGGCACAGTTGTCACAGAAATGCTCAAGACAGCCAAGAACCTCGGGCAGGGCTGCATGCATGTGCTTCCTACTTTCTACTCGTAAATGTCCGCTTCGGGCTTGCAGCTTTCTGCCCAGTCGTGAGATTGCTGCATTGTGATTCCTCCTGACAGTTCTTCGGATGGAGATGGCGTTGATATGTTGACTCGAGCGGCCGGGTCCCCAGCAGAGTGGGAGCTGGACATGACGATGGACGGGAATTATACTGTAGTCTCAATTGTGAAACTAGAAGGTCAGCTCAGAAATCGAAATCTTAATTATTGAATCAATTCAACCTCGCATTAAATATTATCTATATTTATCTATGTCGTATACGGAGTGGAAAACAAATCCAGAATCCACTGATGACGGTCAGGTGTGGCAGGAGCAGACTGCCATCGCGCAAGCTTTGCTCACGGCTGGTGCACAGTCCGCTGTGGCGACAAAAGCTGCCTCTTGTCTAGTCCTAGTTTGATTGTCTGGAGAAAGTGATCTTTGCCTCCTGCAAACGATCTAGTGTTTACCAGGCCCAGAAATCCAAGATTCCAGAGATTCGCAAGATGTTTGGCTACAGCGAGACGGTGCCTGCACCAGCAGCCACGCCTTCAGCAGCAACGCCTGCAGCAACGCCTTCGCCGCCTTCGCCCCCGCCGCCTGTCATCACAGTTCCTTCCGCGAGTGTTGCATCAGTACGAGGAAGTCTGTTAGGACCTTGTTCGCGGGCGCATAGCTTGCCAGATGAGCTGCCAGCGCCAGGCCGGTGTGATGGGTAAAGATCGCTAGTCAGCATTGGTAGGCTGGTGAGCTAGTGTCCTGCATCCTTGTCAGTCCGAGCTTCCACGTGGCTCCATCGGAGCTCCTGAGCTGCGGCAGCGGACATCTGCGGACGCAGAGTCTCAGATCTCTCGTCCGAGCTTTCACTTTCCACGGACCTTGTATTCTAGAATTTGTTCTCCAGCTATTAGTACCTAGGCAAGCCTTGAAGAGTTGGAGTGTAGCTTTTCGCGAGCTCTTGTTGCTCCAGGTCCGAATGCGTGTGCCGAAGAATTCGTGTTCGTTAGATTTCAAGCAGTTGGCAGGTCCGTGCAAAAAGTCTGCGTCCACGTCAACACGAGCTGCAGTCGCGAATATGCAAAGTCATGCGATACGGTGACCTAGGAGGCAACCATGAGGGACGTTTGCACATACCCGAAGAATGCTTCAAGTAGCAAAAGCGCTCATATGGAGCTGGGACAAGCTGCCCGTTGCAGGCGCACCTTTCAACGTGTGCCTTGCAGCGAAAAGGCCGGACAGCGCCGGGGAAATGACTTCATGCATCGAGTCGGCTCAGTCTGGTCTGGTGCGAATGTTTTGTGATGGTTCTGAGTTATGGGTGATTCCCGGAAAGCGGATTTGCGCCAAGTTGAATCCTTGAGGTATCCGCTTGGAGATGTTCTAGTCAGGGTCGTAGCGTGGTTCACGAAAACGTCAGTGACAGGCTTGGTGCCGATGTCAGCTACCTCGGTGCCCTGTCTGCCGACATGTTCGGAGAGGCATCCCAAACTCAAAATCCATGGCAGCCAAGTGCTACGTAGCATTGCATGTCTTGTCAGGAGCTGCACAAGACCCTGGAGTCTGAGCAGGTGGATATGACTATGGCGAGGGGCCCCAAGCATGATGCACAATGACAAAGTAGCATGACTGTATTCTCCTGCATATTTACATTGTATAACCGATGGTGCAGGTATAGAGTAGCACATCCACGGGGTGTTGATCGGAATATGGCACTGCTTTGCCCGCCTCAGGTTCCTCGTGTGCCGAACCCTTCCACTCTGGCCTTTGTACCTCCGACACGTTGCAGCCTTGCAGTTGTTCGAATGCCTCCTTATGCTCTTATGCACGGTGTGTACGGGGACTGGGCCACGCGTTCAACAAGCTTGTTGGTTGGATCTTGCCACAGTTGTCATTGTTGAAATGTTTGTCATCAATATGTCTGCCGTTGTTACTGGCTGCTCCCTATGTACCGTTTCGGGAGATCTTTCTAATCATTCGACTGTTTGTCAAGCAGCGACAATATTGTATTTCCTTGCTGAACAAACGGGCTATGTTACAGCCGTGTCCTCACACTACTCCTACTCCTGCTCCTCCTACTCCACTCCTATACGAAGGACTACCACGACAGCTGCTGTGCTGCTTCTCCGCCTGCTGTAGATCAATGCTTCTGATGCTACTTCTGCACCACCACCACCACCACCACCACTACTACTACTACTACTACTACTACTACTACTGCTACTGCTACTGCTACTGCTACTGCTACTGCTACTGCTACTGCTACTGCTACTACTACTACTACTACTACGACTACCACTACCACTACCACTACCACTACCACTACCACTACCACTACCACTACCACTACGACTACTACTACTACTACTACTACTACTACTACTACTACTACTACTACTACTACTACTACTACTACTACTACTACTACTACTACTACGACCACTCTACTACTACTACTGCTCCTACTACTACGACGACGACCACTACTGCTGCCTCTACTGCCACCGCCACCACCGCTACGACTACTATCTACTACTACCTACTATACTACCTACTTTTGCTGCTGCTACACCTACCTACCTACCTACTAATACTGCTACTACTACTACTACTACGACGACTACGACTACTACGACTACTACGACTACTACGACTACTACGACTACTACGACTACCACTACTACTACTACTACTACTACTACTACTACTACTACTACTACTACTACTACTACTACTACTACAACTGCCACTAACACTTCCGCTGCCACTGCCCCCGGCGCTGCCAGTGCCACGGCCATTCCCACTACCACCACTACTGCCTCTACCGCTACCACTACCACTGCCACTACCACTACTGTTACTGATACTGCTACTACCACGACCACGGCCGCTACCACTACCACCATTGCTACCACCACCACTACCACCACCACCGCCACCACCACCACCACCACCACCACCACCACCACCACCACCACCACCACCACCACCACCACCACCGCTGCCATCACTGCCACTGCCACTGCCACTGCCACTGCCACCGCCACCGCCACCGCCACTGCCACTGCCACCACCACTACCACACCGCTACCACTACCACTACCACGACCACTACCACTACTACAACCACGACGACTACTACAACAACTTGAACTGCACTGGATTACAACGATAAAGGTCATGACGTTACTGTGGGCCAGGTGAGCAAACCGCCAGGAGCTGATGTTCGCTATGCGCGGGGGCCTCATCGATGGATTGTGCAAGCAGTGCCAGCTCCCTCCGACAGAGACCCAGGTTCTTTAAGGACAATGCTGCTGACCGAACGTTGACAGCTAGGACGGCTATGTGGTCCTGTTGCGCTTTTTGCGAGCAAGTTTCGTCGTAGGTCCATGAGCATGCGCGAAAACTGATAAGATCTGCGACATTATGGATTGCAAAAGTTTCGATTGCAGGACCGTCGGCAATGCATTGGCAGCAAGGTCGTTCGGAGCTGTCCATGTCAGCATGGGAGCATCAATCTCAGCAGTGAGGCGTATTGATGGCAAGACAGGCTTTAGGTGCACGCGCAAGGATTGCAAGCTGCATGTCTACATGCCGCATCGAGACTAGATCAGGAGTGTCCACACAACGACAGGTGTGTTTGGTCATAGTAGAATCTTGCATTCTGCACGTTGCATGTTACTTGGATGGTATATGTGCGCAGGAAACAATAGGTTCTCGCAAGAGACTCCATGGATGCAGTTCTGGGGCAGCACGAACCATGTCGCAGACAATGTAGCCCCTGGTGGGAACATGTTGTTGGGGTTGCGACTGACTGGCAACACCGCCTACAAGATCAGCACATGACGTGTCGCAGATGTTACTGACATGCATTGTCGAACTTCAGCTGTCTCAAGCTACGATGGCGACGATCCCAGACCATATTCCGCGACCCGCAATACCAGGAGGTTTGATGTGCAAGAGTCAACCTGAAGGAATGGACTAGACTGGGATTCTGCTGCCCGATGCCCGAAACAGGCAATGCATGCAGGCAACATGCACATAGTATGCGGATCTTGCAACTCTAACATGATTCTACGGGTTCCAGAGACACAAGGTTGTAATCAATCAGTTCGTGGTTTCAGTGCACAAAGACGTAGAACTGCAAGCCCACGATCGGCGGCCTCCGCCAAAACTGCAACCGAGTGGTTAAGGCTGAAACAAGACAGAGTTGCGAACTTGAGGCCATCACTTTGGAGGACGCGAGCATGGAGCAGGCGCGATCCTGCTGTTTGCATATCCAAGGGGTGCATGTGCTGCGATGTGCAGTGGGCCCGAGGCGTTTCGGGAAGCCTTCAAGCGCGTCCATGCTGCTGGAGGCTTTGGCCTTGACGTCGGGCTCATATTGGCGACAGCTTTTGTGCAGCGAGGGTCTGCTGGTGGAGCGCGAGGTTTTACCGCCTTTGATCCCAACCTGCGGGGGCCCATGATTAAAGGAAGTGCGGCCCCTATCACCAACGACAACGGCAATCGTGGACACACTGGAGATGCTTGTCTGTCGGCTGTTGTTGCCATGGTTGATTTCCCGCATTGTGTACAAGAGTGCAACTTCAAAGTTGAAGAACCCTGCGGCAACTACATCGTTTGTCAGCTTGCCTGTGTCCGTTGTGGAGTGACGTGACATGTGACCCCCGTGGGTTTGAGGTTAGAAGCGTGCAACGTCGTGCAATGCAAGTGCTATCATGTGTCGAAGGTATATTATTGATGAAGCACAGTCTTGTCAAGCAACGCGGACAGTCTTGCCCTGCCGCTCTCAATGTCGCTTTTTGTCAGATGGGGCCATATGCAGCATGACGAATGGAATAGTTTTGTATGATACTCTGTCGAAATTACAGGCAAAGTTTTGGGATGTGCTATCATTCGTGTGCGCTTGAAGTGTCGCTTCATTGCACCGACGTACCCCAATCGCAGGCATCAGAGCTTCCAAAGACTTGAGCCGTGAGCAATAGACCAGCAAGTAAAGCTTTACAGTTCTGCAGGTGCCGCACGCGTGCAGATCTACAATTCTAGGTAAAAGCTACAGCAAGCCTTCGAAGTGGGCACAAAGCTGCGAAACTGCAACACTGCCGTGCTGCCGCTCCCTGCAGAGCTGACATTTTCGCACCACCCGCGACGAGATGTTGTGGCTTATCAAAGCATTATTACGAAGTGTAGATTTGGTTTAATCCGTTGTACAACGAGCAATTGTCGGGCCCCAGCACCATTGGACCAACCATATATGGTCACGCGCTTATGTTCGTTCGGGTTGACGATTAATATTCTGATTTAGGCTTAGAGCCTGCGTTTAGGCGGGGTTTAAGGTTGGGTGTAGGGTTTAAAGTACAGGTCAAAGTTACTAGCAACAGGAGCACGAGCTACTCGCTACGTTTTTCGGTTCATGGCTTGCGTACGATCCTGGCCTTATCTTTGACCCCTGACCGCCCATCCAGCAGCTCCAACGGCTCCGACCCCTCTCCTCACACGCCACCCCTCCCCTCCCCGCCCCCTACCAGACCATTGCACCTGACCATACATGCAATCGGCGCGATTAAGGCTGGAACACGGACGTTGGATATACTGAGATCCAAAGCCTGCCCGAACTCTCTGCCCGTCTCGTCAGATTCGAAACGTTGTGTCAACGTCGCGAAACCACGTTGAAGTCCAAAGACTCGGCTGGCAAGCCCGATGAAGAGTTGATTGAGCACGCTTGGCCGTGCGGAGCATTGATCTAAAGGTCCTTGTTTTCGAATCAACACCCGATTCAAGATGTGAACCAAGTTATCCGTGAAAGATTCGCGATGGGTCCACGGAAGGAAGTGGAAGTCAGCGAACGTTTTTACGTAACAGACGTGGGACGGAGAGGACCGATAAAGAACCGGCTATCATTCTGCGGGTGTACACGTCCCTGGCCCGTCAGTACGCAACACGACACCCAATGCCAGCATTTGAGGCTTCACTGGGTTGCCAGATGAAGCCAGCACACTCCTGGCAGTTGCATTCAACGTCATCATGTCGTCGTTATGGTACTAGTATCGGTAATATATCAGTATTATAACTACCACCACGACCACTATACACACTATCACTACCACTATCATTACAACAACTACCACTACTGCCACTACTACCACTACTACTGTTGATGATATAAATCTTGCATTACCTTCAGGACCCTAAACTATGGGAATTATTGTATATTCCTTATTATGGGTAATGCAGGATTTATATCATCAACCGTACCACTACTACCACTACTACCACTACTACCACTGCTACCACTGCTCCCACTGCTACCGCTACTACTCCCAGGTCTGAGTCCTAGTTCTAGTGCTAGTCCTACTCCTACCCCTACCCTTACTCCTCCTACTCTCCTACTCTCCGACTCTCCTACTCTCCTACTCTCCTACTCTCCTACTCTCCGACTCTCCGACTCTCCGACTCTCCGACTCTCCGACTCTCCGACTCTCCTACTCTCCCACTCTCCCACTCTCCCACTCTCCCACTCTCCCACTCTCCCACTCTCCCACTCTCCCACTCTTCCACTCTCCTACTCTCCTACTCTCCTACTCTCCTACTCCTACCCCTACTCCGACTCCTACTCCTGTGTTTATTCCTACGCCTACTCGACCCTTACTCCTACAGCTACGCCTACACCTACGCCTGCACCTACAGCTACTCCTACTCCTCCTACTCCTGCTAATCCTGCCGCTCCTGCTGCTCCCTGCTCCCTGCGGCTGCGCTCCTGCTCCTGTTCCTGCTCATGCTGTTGGTGCGACAAGTACTGCTGCGGCTGCTGCCACCAGTGCAGCTACCTGTGTTACTACTACTACTACTACTACTACTACTACTACTACTACTACTACTATTACTACTACTACTACTACTACTACTACTACTACTACTACTACTACCACGACCACGACCACGACCACGACCACGACCACTTCTACTTCTACTTCTACTTCTACTTCTACTAGTTTTACCAGTGCTCGAATTCGTATTTGCTCCTGTACGTGCCAGTGCCCGCACTCTCACGCGTGCGACTGCTACTACTACTACTACTACTACTACTACCACTACCACTACCACTACTACTACTACTACTACTACTACTACTACTACGACGACCGACTACGAACTGCTCCTGCTCCTGTTCTTGCGCCGCTGCCGCTACCGCTACCGCTGCCGCTACTGCTACCATCTGCTACCGCTACCGCTACCGCTGCGGCTATTGCTATTGCTATTGCTATTGCTATTGCTATTGCTATTGCTATTGCTATTGCTATTGCTACTGCTACTGCTACTGCTACTGCTACTGCTACTGCTACTGCTACTGCTACTGCTACTGCTACTGCTACTGCTGCTGCTGCTGCTGCTGCTGCTGCTGCTACTCCTGCTCTTGCTCCTGCTCCTGCTCCTGCTCCTGCTCCTGCTCCTGCTGCTGCTGCTGCTACTGTGCTGCTGCTACTGTGCTGCTGCTGCTGCTGCTACTGCGATTGCTGCTGCCACTTCCAGTACTACTACTACTATTACTATTACTACTGCTCCTGCTATTACTACTACTACTACCACTACCATTACTACTACTACTACTACTACTACTACTACGACGACTACGACTACCACTACGATGATGACGTCTGCTGCTACTCGTGCTCATTCTTGCTACAAGAATCACGTTTTGTTTGCCGCCAACTGTTATTGTTCATTTATTGCTTCTATTTACTACAAGTCCTAGCGCGCAGTTCCGGCTTCTTCTGCTGCGCAGGCTGCGACTCCCCCTCCCCCTCGCGCCGCGCGGATGCCGCTGCCACGACGGGCTTGACACACTTGGCGACCACCGCTCGGCTTGCGCGACCCAGGCCGTCGCGCGACTCTGTCGCGAAGCCGGTGCTGGGGTCGCCCGCCATGTGCGACTTGCCGACATGAACTTCGATGTGCAGTGCCTGTCATCGTGAGCCCGCTCACACGGCGTGACGTGCTAACTTGAAAATGTGCACAGAACCCCACTCCGACACACATTTTTGCTTCAGCACGGAAGATGCCAAGAGACGCGAGCCCCACCTGCGCGCAGATGTCCAGCCTGGTACCGTTGTGTCGCCCGCAGCGCGGCGCAAGCAACATCAAACGTACCCTGAGTTCAAACGGGCGTGGCGCTGCCCGTTCGTTGTTGTGGGCCTCGAGGTCGGCGGCAGGTTTGGTGCCGAAGCCGTACAACTCTTGCGCGTCCTCGCGCGACACCGGGCAGCCAGCTGTCCCGGCACAAGTGAAGCCCTCCGCGATTGTCGCCTGGATCTCACGCTGGTCAGGGCTCCTGGCTGTCGCTTCCCAGCGCGCCTACGCCACCTTCCTCCTCGAGCTGCCGCCCGCGGCCGAGCTCGGCGAAGGCCCCCTGCCAGAGGTGCATGAGGTCCTCGCTGACTCCCGAGCGACCAGAAGTAGACTGCCAGCTTCGTCCGTACCGACCTGGGACTCCTTTCCCTTTTTTCTCGCACCTTTCACCGGCCGCACCAGGCCACGTGCCCTACGGCGGCGCCCACATCAGGCCTCATGAGCCTCATCGGGGTCCCTGCGGCTGCCAGGCACAGGGAGCGCACATCGGCGAGCACGTGGCGCGTCCCCGGCGAGATTGCACTCCCGTACGAGTGGGAGCGACTGCCACCAGGCCAGACCAGCGAGCCACGCGCGCGCAAGGGCACTGCCACCTCAAGGCCGGGTGCGCAGCGAGCAGGCGGAGCCAGGTGGCTGCCCCAGCGCCCAAACGGACGCCGATTACAACAGCGACAAATAGCAAGCCTTCCCAGTAATAGCGCAAAAGCCCCAGTAATACAACAAAGCCTTCACCACTAACAACGCAAAGTAGCAAGTGGTCAGTTGCTACGTCATGGCAGCACTGTTGATGCTGAGGTCTGTGACGACTGCAATTAATATGGGGTGTTCGTGTAGCGTTACTGTTGTGCGGTTCTCAGCGGATTTTTTTCAGGAATACTTTTTTTGAGGACCTGGTCTAAACCCTAGGATGGAGTTGCGCACCTGTGCCTTCTCCTTTCCCATTGTATATCTGTTAGGGTTTACGGGAACGTCTTTGGGTTCTCAGCGGATCTTTTTCATCGGAGTTGCGCACCTGTGCCTTCTCCTTTCCCATTGTATATCTGTTAGGGTTTACAGGAACGTCTTTGGGTTCTCAGCGGATCTTTTTCAGGGCTAGTTTTTTGAGGACCTGGTCTAAACCCTATGGTGGAGTTGCGCACCTGTGCCTTCTCCTGTCCCATTGTATATCTGTTAGGGTTTACGGGAACGTCTTTGGGTTCTCAGCGGGTCTTTTTCAGGACTAGTTTTTTGAGGACCTGGTGTAAACCTTATGACGGAGTTGCGCACCTGTGCCTTCTCCTTTCCCATTGTATATGTGTTAGGGTTTACGGGAACGTCTTTGGGTTCCCAGCGGATCTTTTTCAGGACTAGTTTTTTGAGGACCTGGTCTAAACCTTATGGCGGAGTTGCGCACCTGTGCCTTCTCCTTTCCCATTGTATATCTGTTAGGGTTTATGGGAAGCATCAGAAGTGAAGAGTTTCAACTTGTGTTTTGAACCTGCTGAGTGTCTAGTTGTACAGTTGGGTCAGGCAGGGTAAGGGCAATTGAGC